AGTTGAAATTAATTTCTATTGTGTGAATATATATAAATTATGTTTTATTAAAAAATAAAAATACACGGCTTGTAGAGTAGTCTTTTGAGAATATTTTCTAAAAATTTCAATAAAAAAATATCAAAAATTAATAAGGTCTTGGCAGCTATTTTCGGATCAGTATTTGCAAAAATAACGGTTGTGGTATATACATATATGTACCAGATCCTACACCAGAGAGATATCTTCGCTCCTTCTCAAATCATGTAAAACAAAAATTTTCCATTAAACTAGATTACTATAGATGAATAAAACTAGTGTTTGTCAATAGCCAATTTTGAAAATATTGATTTTTCGAAAAATAGCAACAATTTGTAGCAAAAAAATGCGATTTAATTTTGACCTAAACATCGATTTTTTTATTTATAAAAAAGCTAAGCCATAAATCGGAAAAAGCACAAAAACACTATTATAGATTATTGTATTAGAGAGTAATAGAGCTGTAAAATTAAATTTTATACAAATCGGTTCACTATAATGTCCAAGATATTTTTAGTACCAATTTTCAAAACATTGTTTCGGGAAAATGGTTGCCAGGATCTCAATTTTTGATATTTTTTATTGAAATTTTTTGGAGATATTCTCAAAAGACCATAACTCTACAGACATGTATTTTCATTTTTTAATGAAACATAATTTTACCACATAAATTTATACATCAATAATAACGCAAAAACATAATTTGTTCGCAAATAAATAATGTTTACATAAAAATTTGTTAATTTCGACCTAGTTTTAAGGCTTGTCAAAGCTAGGTAACCCCTTAAATAAATATATAATTAATAAAAGTAAATATATAATTTACTTTAAAGTAAATTATTTTTAGTTAAAAAGAATTTTTTCTATGTGTCATTTTACCGAGATAGATAATTTATATAGTTGAGACATCTAAAATCTGCTAAAGTTGCGAAAAAGTTTTGAAGATGTACAAAGACTACTGCATTGGGTACTATATACATTAGTATTGCATAGTTATTGCATTAACATTATTGCATAAATTATTTTATGTAAATCTTACTCGACGTTGCCAAATTAAATTCCTTTTCATCTTTTTTTTCAATCCAAATTTTTTTAGCTTTTTATCTATATATTCTCTGTATATATTTTTTAGTTATAAATTTGTTGAGAGCAATTGGCACATTAGCATATACGTCGGCATACGACATAACAACGCGAAACCTTCCTCGAAATTTTAATCAATGTTCTGTTTATCTAATCGCAATTTTTACCTTTTGTAAAATCCTTTACCTTTTGTAAAAGTTATATTTAAAAAATTTTTTTTTATTTTTTTTTTATATTTTTTCTATAAATAAATTGTTCAGTGATTTTTCTCATAGTTCGCGCTGTACTCTGCTCACATCAGCTAAATCTATAGTATCAGTCTCATGGACTCACATACTCATGCTCGGTGTCATTCAACAAAGCAAGTTGACAAGAAAATTCAGTCCTTTAGGGTGCGGTCACATGGATTGATATTTTCCGTGTAATGCGTGTCGCGTAACCAATCAGAAGTGCGAATATGCGTAACCGAAAATGCGAAATGCTTCTAATTGATTACGCGGTTACGCGTTACGCGGAAAATACATGCCATGTGACTTTACCCTAGCTTAGAACCGCGCAATAGATAAATACCGCAGAAATGTTTACGCAGAAATTCAGCCTAATCAGCTGCCAAAGAGCCGCTGTGCAGTACAAACATCTTTCATTTTTTCTACATAAAACGTATATCACATTCATATTGCATTCATCAGACATTAGATATTCCACATATATAAACGGACAGAGATTGTATAAGAAACAGAAAATATTATGTATTGACATATTTTATATATATTTATATATATGTTTTTATATGGAAAATTGTTTACTGGGATTATATATTAAAGTGTAGACAACGTGGCAATTCAAATTAAATGATACTTACTCGACGGGATTTAAAATATTCCTCGCTTGCTGCGTATTCTATTAATTATATGTCTCGCCATGTGTCAATTTCTATCGAAAGACCTTTACTACTCGCGCAATTAAACATGCACACGATGACATACATCTTTTCCCGTGGTCGTGGTAAAGTAGCGAAGTGTATAATAAATAGCGTTTAAATCTTTGATTCGTTGTATGCTATTATGCATCAGAACAGATCAGGTGTTGAAAAATACATTTCTTAATTAAATAATATTGCTTCAAAAATAGCATTGTAATAAAGTCGGACAGATATCAAGTTAATCATCTTCCTTTACAAGCGTAATAAAATAATACATTACTAATAAATTAATTAAAGATACATTTACAGATAACGAAAGTATAGACAAATAAGTATAGAAATCGAACGCAATTTTTATAAGTGAAAAGTTAACATTGAATTAGACATCGAATTTTTTATATGCAGATTAATGGAGAAGAGCAATTAATAACTAAGATTATGTTATTTATAATATCCAAAATATTTATATACCTAACATATGTTGTAGTATATGAATGTTGGATATATTATAAATAACATAATTTTAGTTATTAATTACTCTTTCACCAATCTGCATATAAAAAATCCGATGTCTATTGATTACACATGAAGACCCGAAAAAATCTTTCGTGCAAATAGAATCTTGCAAGTCAATAACTCTAAAATTAAGTGTGAAAGCGATATTGTCTAATCGAGCAACGATTAATTAAACTAGAGTCGAGGTTAATTGACGTTGATAAAATTGATCCATATCACCGGACTTTAATGAACCTCGTAATTTCAACCGGAGAGAATTATGCTCAACGCTCGCAAAATAATTCGCCCGACGATGCCCGATACTATCGCTTGATGTTGCATTTCATCAATTATGAATTAGCATATCGATTACATCTTTGTTTGAAGTAAAAATAAGATAACTGCGTACTATCCTAGAACAATACAATGTTCAAAATCGGGACATAAGACGTCTGAGATACTTCTAATGTATATACTTTGTTACTATAATCACTCCGTTGCTTTGAGGTAATATTTACTTGAGGTGTAATATTTACAGGAAAATTGATATTAATTTTCAGACACGTGACTGCAAGAGGAATATGAGGAATAAGAGAAACTGTAGCAAACGTCGGACAATACGAGCAAGCGCCATGTGACTTTAAAAGCCGACGTCACTCCGCGATCGCGGGAAGAAACCGAAGAGATCTCGTATAGAAACGAAAAAGGAGAGAGGAGGTACTCTGGTCAAGCGACGACCGAACGCGATTGAAGCGATTCTCAAGGAATTGTCATTGACTGCTGAATACTTGCGCAGTCACCACGCCGCTTTATAGTCCCGGCCGTGTAAGTAGTTTTGGTGTCATGAGGCACGGCCTTTCGAATTACTCGTCGGCGAGATAACACTCGCGTTTCGTCGGACGGCTACCTACAATAGAAATTCATTCGTGATAAAACGAAAGGCGGCTGAACAGGAGTCGAGGATTCAGAATTGGAGTTCGGGATGTTCTTGGAATATCTTGAAATGTCTCTCATTCAACTACGTCGCTCTGGGAAACTTGTTCTTTCCCGACTGTCCGCAATGTAAACTGGCAGCGGCAATGTAAACCTATAGCTGCTGCGTCTCTTCGCGCTTCACGTCACGTACGTCTTCTTCGACTTTCCGGTCTGAATTTCGGTTCGAGTTACGTAATAGATATCCGAACAAATAACGTCGGGTGTCCAAATGTCTCGTGACATCTATAATAAGATTTCGAAACATTTATACGCCACTTGTAGACGAAAGCTGAATGGAACCCGTTCTAATGGACGAGATAGTCGGTCACTCCCGTTCAAACGTACGCCACGTTAATTCAGCACGTTGCCCAATTGACGCGATAAATATTTGGCCGATTACGCGTTACTGACGACTGCACCGACAAAATGTACTGTTGCATAACTCGACATTTACAAGGCGAATCAGGACGATCGCCATTGAACGAGATTTTTTTTTCCCTCGCTCTATGGGATATACGGATCGCGCTCTCGAGGATCGTATCGCCGAGACGAGAAGAGGAGTTTTCGAAATGACGACGAGTGTCGGTCGGTCGATCGGTCGGTCTCGCTCGACCTGGGACGGGGCAAAGACGAAGGTAACGAAGGGGGACAAAGGTGGACGATAATACCAGCGCCATGCGAACCGGTGTGTACGGGTACGACTGTGCACGTCGACAACGACGGGGCACGCACAGGTGGGGCTGTATTCCCACCTACGAGAAGGACCCAGCGTCTACTTGATGAGGATGATGCCCCGTTCTGGTGGGAGGAATTTAGGTTACTCGTACCACTAGGGAATGTGGGCCGACTATATACCGGCTCATCGCGACCGTCCGCCAGTTCATTCCTTCCCCGTATTTCCGATTCGTCGGATCCAGCATCATCACACGAACCCGCGATCTTCCTTTTGTCGTCGTCGTCGTCGTCGTCTGGTACTTGAGAGCTCTTCTTCAGCAGCTCGTCCCTAGGTAAGTCCTGAGCAGCGGAAGAGGCGGCACAGCAGGAAGAGGAGGATCGTCGACTTCGAAACCTTATTGTATCTTCGAGGATCGCTGCTTCTTCAGTAAGTGCGATATTTTATTCGAGAATTATGCGAGCTCACGTCTCGACGTTGCACGATATCGGCGCCGCGGCGTGTCAATATTAACTTCGGAATATTTCGATGGAGAGACGATCGACTGTGAATATTTTTCGTATATTAAATAATTTTCATTTGAGAATGGAATAGAAAAGTTTAATAATTTATTAAGTACATAACTCCATTGTAGATTTTGTAAATTTTCTTTCTCGCTTTTAACGTTTTATTTGTAATCGGAAGAGTTTGTATTGAATTTTGCATTTCATTTTTCTATCTAAAATTTCAGAAATTTTCTATGAATGTTCATAAATTGATGATCAATAATGTATATATATCCCAATTTCTACATTGACGACGATGGAGACGCGAGGCGTAAAATGCATCTTTCTGTGCAACATCGAGCATTGAACTCTCCGAGATTATACCGGTTTTAAGTCCTGATTCTATCAATGCGCGCGTGTATTACATTCTCGGAATTAAGATCTCAGAATATCGCAGATGGGAAAATCTGAGCTTTGACCCGAACTGGCAGCGTTAGCTCGCCGAAGATATGACGTAATCATTAACGTGAGCTCGGGAAATTCCTGTCTTTGTTAGAACCTTCCCCATTTCGGGCGCGAGAATACGTCGAAAAGAAAATAGACGTTGCGCCAGCGATTTACGAGTTTTTGTTACTTAATGCAGTTGAGAGTTATCTTAACTCTGACGTGTGTTATTCAATTCTTGATATATACAAGGCGATTTGATTGACGCAAGACATTATTTTAATTTCAAGTAAATTACAATCAACGGATTTTTTCATTTTTGCATTAGAAAATTTAACGAATAATTGTCTAGAATTATATAATTTTTAGCGCATCTAATGCAGATCATTCTATTGATGTTAATTTTAATGATAGATTTTCTGATAAATTGGATGTCGATGCTCTTATGGAAAAAATTTCGAGAAATGCATTATATGTTGTAATTTTTTAATATGCAATCCAAGTTTCAAGCTGAAAGTTTCGAAAAGTGCAGTGTCGTTTTCTCAAAATCGAAAGTCGTATATAAACTTAACCGTTTGTTATTAATTTTTAGATATAGTGAAAACTCCAATGCATCTTATAATTATGTTAATAATGGGTAGAAAGGTGGACAATATTATTTTTATGCCGACAGACGACGAGGCCTGTTAATGAAGAAAGTGCGTAATTATAGAGACGATATTCGCGTAGTAGATTAGACAATTCTGTCTAATTTATTCTTCTATCCAATTATTCTTCAGTCTAATTTGATAACCAATTTTTAAATGTAATTTTACATTGAAATTATTTGGCAATACGTCGCTGTTCTCTGCTTTGAACCATTCTCTCGATTACTCGCGGAACTTTCTTAATCTCTCGCCGTTTCACCGTTTTTAATTTATAAATATCCGTGTTGAGGATAAAGAAATAACAATTCGTGTCAAGATACGAGACAAATATTCTCGTGTTATCCTACATCTCGCATGACGTCTTCGCCGCGCGATTCATCAACGAGATAAGTAAAGGGTCGCTCGTGAAAGTTTATAGGTGCAAGGTGCATCCTGGGAGTTGTAGTTAACGGATCCGCTCGATTTCGCATCCGACAGCGGCGACAGCAGGGTAATTTTCACGATGCTCACAACTTCGCAAAAAACCTGGTGAGCTTAAAGTTACATGTAAGATTAGATGGATGTTGAGGGTCTGTTATAATCTGTAAGTCGAGTTAAATTTCGTATACGGACCCAGACAGCACGCATGTCCAAAATCGGCACAAGGCGTTTTGAAGACATCTTTAAAACTGTATTAAAATTATTATAAGACGTCTAAAAGACGTCTTATGTTTCGATTTTGGACATGGTGATGTCTGAGAATGTCTGAAAGTTTCTTACCTAAACTTTAACGATAGGTCTTTGGTCTTTTGATGAATTTTGTCACTTTTTTCGCAGAAATTTCAGATACTCTTTTTAAAGGTTTATCCGATTTATAGATAGTCAGCAAATAAAAACAATTCGCCGAAAACTTGTGCAAATTAATTACGTGAAGCGATCGAATCAATCATACGTTATTGACATGTTATTGACCTTGAACATACTTTTTTTTACCTCGATGTGACCGCATTTCACAAGCATTTTCGAAACTGCCAGACAGCCCATCATCTCTAGTTACGTGTCCTTATTTCAATTGCTTTCGTCCTGTTCTGCAAGTTTCCTCACTAATCTCGAACGTTGAGAAGGCACTCGAGTAGAACGATGCTTGTCGGTATTTTACAAGAAACCGAAATACTTTCGGATACCTAAATAAATGCGGATAATAGTAACAATGCAGATTGATTTAAGATCAAACTTCATATTTGGAGAAAATAATTTTAATAAAATAATCTTAGTAAAGAGAAAAAATTTAATAAAATTTAAGAAGAACTTGTAAGTAAAATATTTCTCTGTGTGCACTCTTTCTTGCAATTCAATAATATAGAAATAAAATTCAATATTCAAGAGATGGAGAGTGAATTAGAAAGAGACAAAATTTCAGAAAATTCCAAACTATCTATTTTAATTACTAGTAAAAAATATTAATAACTAATTATATCGTAAAGTTAACGAGGTCTCTTTACATGTCGTAACTAGAAAAATTACTCTATGAAATTGTTTTCACCATTTATGAGTTTCAAATTAATTCCTCGGTCATTAACTGATCTTACTTTATGAGCTAATAGTTTGAGTAATAAAATTCCTTGGATTAGTAAAATGTTACTTCGTTTGAAGCATGTGAAGTTGATGTCAGAATGTTTCGGTCGTTTATGCTATTTAAATCAGCTATGAAAAAAGAAAAACTTTACATGTTATACCTCTCACCGGGGGATTTGAGGCTCTTAATAATTGTTTCGAAATATACGCTTCTTTTTGTATCAAGAATGTTTCTTGACATTTTACCCTTTTTCAACTACGCCGCGGTATTCAAGTGAGATACGATTACATAAACGATCATGCGGATTACACGCGTCCGCATTTTTATAATGTCTTTATATTACTAATTTATTTTGTTATATGCATTTCGTTATACGTGGAACGCCAAACACATTATTTACGTGAGGCAAATTCTTTTTTGACTACTCCTCTAATGATCCACATCACCTTCGAATTCTCCTTTCACTTTTTTTCGCATTACTCGCGCGCTTCTCTGATGTGCTTTCCTAATAGATTTAGAGAAGATTCTCTCCCCTTTTAATATGTTATAGAAATCGAGATTATAGAAGAAATATTTTCTTCTATAGCCAAGTTCTATAGCCGAGCCAATGGAAAACGAGAAGATACTTTTCTTCGCGAAATCGTCATGTTTCCTTGTCAGATAAACTTTGCGCTTTTAAGATAACTACGATAATTGCGACGATCTTGCACAAAGCGACGCGTGGAAAGCATACACGATTGTACACTTGGCGCTATCACGGGATTTCGACACTTTATGTAGGTAACGAGTTAACGTTGACACGTCAACGGCAGCTCGTTACGCGAAACAAAATAGGAGGAAGGAGATTAATATCGTTATTGTGAAGTGGCCAGTAGTTAATGCCGCAGAGAGTGAAATTATCGTCGAAGGATCTCACGGATCCGTAAACGTTTCCTCGAATAGTGTATCTTTCGATTTTGTCGGCAAAACTTCAACCGCTTTTAAAAAATTGTACAGACCTTATTTATTTTCTTCCAATTTTGTTCTATTTATTGTTATGTTAAATATTGTATTTATTTAGGAAAGATGGTTTAATAAATTTTTCAAAGTTAACTGCTGAATTATGTTGCCGACTTTAAAGTAATTAAAAAGCACAAGTTATCGAGGAATACGAGAGTGTAAATATAGAAAGTCAAGAGTTTTGATACCAATACGCATAACGTTCCACACGTTCCACATATGGCACATGCTAAAAAGAACGGTACTCCTTTCCTCACTACCATACGATACCTGTATTTGAATATATATATATATATATATATATATATATATATATATTACAGTGTATACATATATATACTTGAGACACGAAAGTAAAATATAGTATTGTACATTGTAAAGATAACGGTAATAGCTGTTGAACGAGAGTTAAAAATGAGCGAAATAAAAAACTGTGTCAAATATGCAAGATATGAGCGTGATTTTAACTAATGGACATAATTTCGCGTGACATCTGTCATTATGAGGAGGCCAAGCGGAGATCGCTCGACTGAGGCTCGGCATAATTAAAGGCCCGAAACTCGAGATCGCTATCTCCGCTTTTCAGATCCCGAATATGAGTCACGAGCGCATTTCTATTTGAGCATCGACCTGAGAGTCATTAGCAAAGTGGAACAAAGCCGCGATTATCCCACCGAATAGACTCCGCCGCAGCCGAATCGCCGGCCGATACTCGACAGAAGCGGATGATCGACAGCCTCGGCTCTCGTCCGGCGAGCTCTTTCCTCCTCGCGGACTCGATTCGCGCGGAGCGGACCCGTCTCGTTTTTGCCGCGCGCAGTCGGATTCCCCAGAATCCAGACGTGCGGCCCGCAGTATGCGGGATACGTCGACAGGCACGACGGCACGTTGCCGTTAACAAAAGTCCAACCTCGGACGAACTGTAAGAGACTCCTGGAAGAGAGCCGGCTGGACGTAAAGCCGGCCAGCTAACGGTCACGACGCGCGATGTGGTTCGCGCGCGCATACACGCGCGCGTATACGCTCGTATAGGTATGTATACGAGCGCTCGCGCCTCCGTGATGTTCGTTATCCTACACCTACGGTTCTCATTCTCATTCTCGTTCCTGGTTCTTTCGCGTGAATGGCGACGACGGCCGTGTCGCGCGAATACCGGGAAACCTCGACGCCAGGTCAGACGACTGCTCGGACTCGTTCGACAGTTTCGATTCTGTCCGCGACCGTCCGTCACCACTTGTCCAAGTAAAAATAATCGTTGTAGCTGAGACAGTGGTTTCGGCAAATCAGCGTATGAGTTCT